ATGCAGCTTGGCTGCTTGGGGAATTGTCACGACCTTACTCTCGATCGTGCGGCCCTAGCTCTCAATTCTCTTAGAGCGCTAGGCAGCCTTCTCTCAACTCACTTGCAAGCAAAGAACAAGAAATCAAAGACAAAGGATTGGGAGAACTCTCTAGTATGTATTACTCTAAAAAATGATGGAATGAGTTACTAGTGAGAGAGATGGCTCCTTATATAGGCCTCTCCACATACAAGGCGTCAATGCCCCTCATAATGTCCCTCTACTACATCAATACACCCCATTAAGTCCCCCCATTATGCACTCTATAAATGTCACCCATTATGTGACTCATAAGTGCACCATTAAGCTCTATATTAAGGTGGAGAATCCTAGGAGCATCTCTATGCTACTAGTCTTCCATGCATGCCACATGTGCAGCCGCCATGTTGTCACCTTGTTGGCGCCATGTCATCTGCCACATGTGACATCCTCCCCCACCTATACTCGCGACGCCCTCGTCGCGTCCTCTTGATGGAATGCCTCAATCAAGTCCTTGTTCTTCCAAAGCGTGAGCTCTTTCTCCCAAGTTTCTTCACTTTCCGGAAGGTTGCGCCACTTGACTAAGTACTTCACAAATCTTGGATGTACGCCACGACGAGGAATGACACGACGCGCCATGATTTCTTCGACTTCATGGTCGTTTCTCTTGGTGATGAGTGTTGGAGCGCGCTGCGACTCCCTTCGCTGCTCGTCCTCCTTGTCTTCGTGGTAAGGCTTGAGTTGGCTCACATGAAAGACCGGATGGATCTCCAAGTGCGTCGACAACTCCACCTTGTATACCACCTTGCCAATCCACTTCACGATGGGGAATGGCCCTTCATAGCGGCGAAGCAGTCCATTGTGCACGTTCTTGAGATGCTTGAAGCGATGAGGGTAGAACTTGACCATCACCATGTCTCCCTCTTCAAACTCCAAATGCCGCCTCTTCTTGTCCGCCCATTTCATCATCTTCTTGCTAGCGCGGGCTAAGTAAGACTTGGCCATCTCCATCTTCTCGTGCTAGCCTTTAGCGAACTTGTAGGCCGCCGGACTGTTGCCTCTATACCCCGTTGCCACCGTTGTAGGTGTCAAAGGTTGCTGCCCCGTCGCCAACTCAAATGGACTCGTGTTGGTCGACTCGCTGCGGTGCAAGTTGTAGCAGAATTGTGTTGTGTCCATCAACTTCACCCAATCTCGTTGGTTTGCACTCACGTAGTGCCGCAAGTACACCTCCAACAAGGCATTCACCACCTCCGTCTGTCCGTCGCTTTGAGGATGAAATGCCGTTGAGAAGTCCAAGTTTGAGCCCATGATCTTGAACAACTCTTGCCAAAATCTGCCCGTGAAGCGCCCATCTCTATCGTTCACAATGTTGCCAAACTCAAACGCAATCAAGATTGCCAGACATATCCAAATGCGATTCATATCGCCAGACCAAACGCGATGCAAATCGCCAAACTCAGATGCAATCAAAATTGCCAGACGTACCAAACTTCTCCAAATCAGCTGTACTAGAATCTCCTCTGCCTCCAAATGCCCCTAAGGGCGATCAATAAATCAAAACATGCAACAAGTCCAACCCATGTTGGGGCTTGCCATGCATAACCAACTTGGTGTTATTTCCATCGATAACACCAACATCAGATTTATTTCCAACTCCAAACCTGCAGCTCCCAATTACAAACATACTTCTCCCCTAACCCTAACCAACCACCTCACAGCGACTTGGTGGCAACCATTCACAAAGTTTCCAAAATCAAACTTCAACTCCAAAAACACCAAATAAACCCAAATTCAAGTCTCCACCACAAAACAAACAATGGCCGCTACCAACACAAAATCCAATAAAAGCTTCAGTTGCTTGCTTCCACAATTAAACGAAGCTTTCTTCAAATCCCACAGAAGCCGACTAATCACAACTCACAAGTTTGCGGTGCGTCTCCATTGCTTGTCCCCCCCCCCCCCCCACAAATCCTCCAAATTGGGGCAAAAGAGCACGAACCACCGCAAACCAAATTTGGAAAAACACCTGAAGGGATTCCTCCGCCAACCCAAATCGAAAGCAGCAGTAGTCACCTCGATCTTAACCAATTATTTCAACTCAAACCATCAACTGGCAGCACGATTCGAAAATCCGCGAAGGCAGTTTCAAATAACCCAAAGATCAACCACGCCTCTGATACCACTTGTCAGAACAGAAGCGTGCAATCGATAATCCAAGCTAACACGAACGAACACAAATTTAACGTGGTTCACTAACACAATGTGTGCTAGCTAATCCATAAGCAGGGGGGACAAATTTCACTAATTTGAGGAGAGTACAGGTTACAAACCAAATTCCAAACAGACAAACCAAACAAACTAACCTCACTGACCTTACTACAGACTAGGGTGATGAAGAGTATTTATAGAACTCTTCTCCTAATCCCAAACAGAAAACCAAACACCTTTTCCCAAACATACAAGGAAAAGGTCAAACAAAGCCCAAACACAAACCCAAACTAAATAGGCCCAAACACAAAACAAACCCAAATCAAATTCAAGTCATATTCTAACAGAAGGTTTGGGTTTAATTGCTTTGGGTCACGGGTCTTAGCTTTATTGTCCCAAAATGCAGTTGTATTTTAAAGGTATACCAATGCAATTAGGACAACTCTGGAGTATAACATCCCATATTTGCGTGTATTTTAAAGGTATACCAATGCAATTAGGACAACTCTGGAGTATAACATCCCATATTTGCGTGGTTTGTGATTGTTTAAGGTATTGAATTTGTTATGCTGAAGAGGTATTAATTAAAACCCTAGTTTTAGATTGTTAATACAAGTATTGAATTTGACCTGCTAAATCAGGTACTAATTGAATTGGATGAACATTGTTTTTGAGCATCACATGCAAGGGCTATTGGATTCTTAATTGGCACGAATAGAAATTGTTTTTTATCGTCATGCTGAGGGTCACTGCTGTGTTTTCTATTCTTCCGCCCTGGAAACACGTTCTCATTTGTTTGCTGAATGCCGATTATATAGGCAATTGTTTGCAGCTCTATTCCCTAAATATTCAGATTCTATTCCTGGGAATCAGTGGCTGGCAAACTCAGTGGGTATCCTTGCATTTTCAAAAGAAGAATGTTGTTTCTCAGGTGGGGAGATTTATTTGGCAGAGTTTAATTGCCACTACTTGGAGGGAAAGATGCAAAGTTAAATTTGGAGAAGGTGTACTTGATATCGGGTGAAGAGTGACTTGAGGCTGATTCTGGATCCGTTGTGTTTGGATAAGTTTTTCTAGTTTTATATTTTGTTTGAGTTAGTTTGTTATGCTTGTTAGGCAGTTTACAAGTGATTACTTGTCTATAGGTTTTCTTTGCCCAGTTGGCGGAGTATGTTGCCAACAAGTTTTTGCTACTTTTTGATGAAATAGAAATCCCAACCAATTCATAAAAAAATGTAGAGCTTACAATTATATTTAATAATTAAGTTTGATGTTAATGCAAATGTTATATTTAAGGGTAAATTTCTTAAATTGGTTTGAAATTTACATTACAAGACTAATTTGTTGCGAATTTTCTGAAACACTCATACTGACCTAAACTATTCATTATGTAGACGAATTGGCCCAACTCGTGGGTTGACTTACAAGTTGGATGGTTAAAACCGTTGACTAACGACCAACATAACATGACATCACAAAAAATATATAAACAACTCAAAATTTAATCCAAATTTAAAATATTTCATATTCGTAGTAAAATTAAAAAAATTTCCTTATTAATCAACACACACATGACACAACCATCCATCTCATCCCCACTCTTAACCAATAACAAAAAAACCCTAGCTCCGAATTTTGTGGAGCGGCGATTTTTTCCTTCTCAGCCTACCACCGTTTATCGCGATCGTTTTTCCTACCCATGGCAACGCCGGCGCCGGGGGTCCCTCCCCCGGACGCAGAACTTGTGGACCCATGTACGAGTTCGCCGCCCCGCCCCTGTAACATCTTCCCCGGACGCGAAACGCGAGAGAGAGACACAGCAGGCGAAGAAAAGAGCCAAGCCCATGCGAGACAATCCCCTCTTCGGGGATGATAGCACCAAGGCGCCTTCATCAGAACCAATGGAGGAAGAAGAGCAAAATGGCAAGACAGGAGAGTTCGAGACTGCATGGCAGGGAGGTACGCGTGGTTTATTCAACAACCTACGAAAAGAGGAGGAGTGGTACGTAGAGGACTCGGATTCCGAGGATGTAGCAGCAGCCATGAAGGAGGATGACCTGGATGACGAAATCCCAGAAGATGATGATCCCCTATGCCCCACCATTGCTTTCACGGCGATGGAGAAGCAGCAGTGGCGACGTGAATGGCGGTCTGCCCTCATCGTGAAAGTCCTCGGACGAACCTTTCCTTTCCCGGTCATCTCCCGCCGGTTGGAGATACTTTGGGCTAAGTGTGGCGCTATCCAGGTGTCAAGCTTATCGTGTGGGTTTTACGCAGTACGATTCACTAGCCAGTTTGATTATGAGCAAGCTGCTATGGGCGGGCCTTGGATGATTAGTGACTTCTATATAACTGTACGTCCGTGGCGCAAGAACTTTAATCCGACATTTGCAGAGGTTGCCTCCACTATGGTCTGGGCCAGGTTTCCGGGGCTACCAAGAGAATTTATCAACAAGCATGCTGTAGAACGTATAGCGAAGAAGATTGGCCGACCAATCAGGGTGGATCGTGCTACACAATCAGGTGATCGTGGAAGATATGCACGAGTTAGCATTGAAGTTGATCTGACAAAGCCGCTACTCTCAAAATTTAAGATAGAAGGCATTACCTACTATGTGGAGTACGAGGGACTACACCGCATCTGTACAGAATGTGGGAAATATGGTCATAAGAAGGTAACGTGCCCATTGCTCGTGAAAGAATCCGTTCTGGTGCAAACGCCCACCCAGGAGGCAAACGATAGCGAGCCAAGCAGTACATATGGTGACTAGATGGTTGTAAAGCCACGGGGTAGGGAGGCGAGTAGACTCAAGCAGGGTCCGAACACTGCGTCGGCGACTGGAGGGAAGGACAAAGCCCCGAGGATGGATAACCCACAAGGGTCTCGGTTCTCAGTGCTGGAGGAAGACAATAATAACACTAATGAGGAAATTGATATGGAAGGCAATAAAAGTGTTCAAATGGACGTTTCGGTTGCACAAGCAGCGAACCCACCCACCGATAATACGACTGTGGACACAGCTGAGAGGGCTGAGGAGATACAGAAGGAAACCGACCTCCCAGCTATCATGACAGCGAGATCAGAAAGTACCCCCATGGGGATAGACCTCGGCCCTAACAGGTCTCCAGAGGGAGGACCTAGTGTGATGAAGCCCACCCATCCCACCATAGAAGACCAGGGTCGGTTGGTGCAAACCAGAAAAATGGATACGGGCCAGAAACCCACGAAGTCTACTACACAGACGAACAAGGTTAAGCACATCCGGAGCAACCCGAAGAACACAGGTGCTAAGCATGGCGCGGGGAGCCCATCCCCTTCGGTCCATAGATGAAAATTTTGAGTCACAACTGCCGCGGGCTAGGGAATACGCGGTCAGTTAATGCTCTTCGTGCGTTGTTACGCCGATTATCCCCTAATGTCGTCTTCCTAATGGAGACGAAGCAAACTGAGATTGAAAATGATGCTCTTCGTGAAATGTGTGGTTATAACCATTAGCCTGTGGTGGAATGAGGACTCACAAATCTCAGTCATGGATGTGGGTCTCCACTTTATTGATGTAGCGGTTGATGAAGCAGCCGAGGGTAGATGGCGGTTCACAGGTATCTACGGATGGCCTGAGAGAAGTGACAAGTGGCAAACGTGGGATCTACTACGAGGCCTAAGCAACCAATGGGATGGCCCATGGTTACGTGGCGGTGACTTTAACCAAGTCCTATCGTCAGCGGAAAAAAGCGGAAGCCGAGGGGTACACGAAATGGAGATGTCTGATTTCAATGATTGCCTCAATGATGTGAGTTGTCATGATCTGGGCTTCCATGGCTACCCGTTTACTTGGGAAAACAGACGGATACGAGGGGGGTATATCGAGGAACGCCTAGACCGGTTTGTCGCAAATGGAAAATGGGGCTCTCTTTTCCCTAATGGTCGAGTGGTTCATGGGGATAGAGCCCACTCTGATCACCGACCAATTATCTGTGAAACAAGGGGCGAAGAGGATGTGGAAGTTAAGTGGGGTTTTGCTTTTCGTTTTGACCCAATGTGGGCGAAACATAAAGATTGCTCCTCCACAATTGAGAAGGCTTGGAATAGCTCGCTGGGGATGGATGTCCTGGACAAAATGGCATCTTGCCGCAACGAGCTTGAGACCTGGAGCAGAAAGACTTTCCCTGCGTTTGCCAAGCAGAAGAAGAAGATAAGTAGGGCGATCCGGGCTGTGGAAAGGAGGGAGAAGACCGAGGAAAATCTGGCCCTACTTCGTACCCTAGAAGACGAGATGGCGGACATTCTTGACAATGAAGAAAAGTATTGGAAGCAACGTTCTCGTGCAGATTGGCTACGTTCGGGAGACAAAAATTCTGGGTTTTTTCACAGGAAAGCGTCAGCACGCCGAAAAAGGAATCTGATCAAGAAAATTCGGAATGAGGCTGGGCAGTGGTTTAAGAGGCAAGACGAGATCTCCCAATGCATGGTTGATTACTATGGGACGCTCTTCACTGCTGGGCCTACCCCGACAGCGTGGCCGGTCCTGGACTCAGTTGATCGGAAGGTGAGCATGGAAGACAATGAAGCGCTCTTGCGGCCCTTCGAGAAAGAGGAAGTTTGGACCGCTCTGAAACAGATGGGGAAGCGTAAAGCTCCGGGAGCTGATGGGTTATCCGTGTTCTTCTTTAGACAGTATTGGTCCATTGTGGGAGAAGAGGTGACGAAGGCAGTGCTCCAAATCCTGAACACGGGAGTTATGCCGGATGGGCTCAACCATACGCTAATCACTTTGATCCCGAAGATCAAGCAACCCGTAACACCAAGGGACTTCAGGCCGATAAGCCTGTGTAATGTACTATACAAAGTGGTCTCGAAGATTCTAGCCAATTGACTCAAACCGCTTCTTGATAAGATTATATCGCCTTCCCAAAGTGCGTTTATCCCTGGCCGCCTTATCACAGACAATATTATGGCAGCATTCGAGTGTTTCCACACCATGAAGCGCAGCAAACGATGGAAACATGGGTACTTTGAAGCAAAGATCGATATGGCCAAGGCTTACGATCGGGTGGAGTGGATGTTCTTGGAGGGAGTAATGAGGAGGCTTGGATTTGAAGAAAGATGGATCCAGCTGGTGATGATGGGTGTGACAACAGTGTCTTACTCTGTCTTGGTGAATGGTCATCAGTCCCAGACCTTTTTTCCAGGCAGGGGGATCCGGCAGGGTGACCCGCTCTCACCATACCTTTTTCTGCTTTGTGCGGAGGGGTTATCAACCTATACAGCCAAGGCGGTCATTGAAAACAGGCTGCATGGGTTACAAGTGAGCCGGGGAGCCCCGGTGATTACCCACCTTTTTTTTGCTGACGATAGTATTTTCTTTGGCAGGGCAAATCAGCAGGAGGCGTTGACACTAAAGGAAATACTCCATGCCTATGAAGTGGAGTCTGGCCAGATGGTCAATTTCCAGAAGTCGGAGGTCTCTTTTTCAGCGAATGTGAAACCCCATGGCCGATTGATTACGAGTGGCACACTTGGGATGCAGCCTGTCGAGAAACACCAGAAGTACTTGGGTTTGGTTACGGAAGTGGGGCGGGCGAAGAAGGACCTCTTTGCAGGCCTCAAGGAGAGAGTCAGGTCGAAACTGAAAGGGTGGAAGGAGCGTACAATGTCAGTCGCAGCGAGGGAGGTGTTGATCAAGTCAGTTGCTCAGGCCCAGCTCACCTATGCGATGTCAGTTTTCAAGATCCCAGATGGGTTGATCGATGAAATCCACAGCTTGATTGTAAACTTTTGGTGGGGCCAGAAGAACGAAGAACGACGAGCCCACTGGCTTCGACGGGAAGAGCTAATGATACTTAAAGAGGACGGCGGGTTGGGTTTCAGAGATCTCCGTGGATTTAACCTGGTGCTCCTAGCAAAACAACTCTGGTCACTCTATCTTCGCCCGGAGTCGTTAATATCTAGAATACTAGCAGCCAAATATCACAGGAACTGCTCGATCCTGGACGCCCGGATTGGGAATCGGCCGAGCTACATATGGAGGAGCATACTTAGTGCTCAAGAGTTTTTGTGCGATGGATTACGTTGGAGAATAGGCAATGGTGACCGGGTGAAGATCTGGGGGGATTAGTGGCTACCGGGCGACCCAGCTTTCGTCCCATCTGCTCCAACGATCCTGCCGGTAGATTCTAAGGTTCGTGAACTCATTGATCCCATAACAGAAGGGTGGAACGAGGAGCTTGTTGACATGTGTTTCCCGGCGGACATCGCCCAGACCATCCGTTCGGTACCGCTTAGGGGAGCTGCAGAGCAGGACTGTATCATTTGGAGGCACAGCGAGAATGGTCAGTTCACTGCCAAGAGCGGATATAGGAGGTGGCTTGCAAAGTTCATGGTCAACGAAGGGATTACTCCAAGTGGCGATGGGAAGCTGTGGAAGGCCATTTGGACAATGAATGTGCCGCCAAAGGTTAGACATTTCATGTGGCGCTTCACTAAGGAAATCTTGCCCGTCGGAACCAGGGTGGCGGCTAGGAATCCGAGATGGTCAGACTGCTGCCCGTTCTGCACCGAGCAGGAAACCCAACGACATCTGTTTCTCGAATGTATTTGGAGCAGGCGGATATGGAGAGGGACGCCATGGTCGAGCGCATTTGAGAGGGCTGGAGCGATGGACTGTCTTCCTTGGGTGGCGGAGGTTTCCCAGCGGGAGAGCCAGGATACGATGGAGAGGTGGGCAACGCTATTGTGGGCACTCTGGAAGGAACGTAATGCGCAACAGTTCAATGGTTCGAAATGGCCAGAAGATGAGGTTGCTTACCGTGCTATGTCACTGCTGGAGGAGTATCGGCGCAATCAAGGCCCAAATGATGATGTCGGAGGGGATCACTCGGCGGAGGCGTGGAAGAGGCCAGCCGCGGGACTCATTAAAGTGAATACTGATGCAGGGCTCTTTGACACAGGGGGAATTGGGCTGGGTGCGGTCTTTCGGGATCACCAAGGACGATTCTTGGCAGCTGCAGCCAAGAAGGTACGAGGGACTTACTCGGTAGAGATGGCGGAGGCCCTGGCAGCTGAGTTTGGCCTTCAACTCGCACACCAGGTGAACTTTAGACATCTTCAGCTCGAAATGGATTGCCTTGCGGTAGTTGAGAAGCTCCGGAAGCCAGACGACGACCAGACAGAAGTTGGGCTCATCACCAAGCACATTGGGGACCTCCTGCGGACTACTGGATCGAATATGAACAGTATAACCCACGTGAGACGCTCGGCCAACAAGGTAGCACACATTATGGCACATAGTGAGACTAGATGGGATAGTCGCGAAGTGTGGATTGATAGGCCACCGATTTTTCTCTTGGACCAGCTTAGACTGGACGATGTAACCGCAGGTTTCTGATCTATATTAATATACAGGTTACCCGTCAAAAAAAAAAAATCTCATCCCCACTCTTCATAAACACAATTGCTAAATGTTGCCTTAATTTTTACTTATATCGCTCAAACTTAAAATATAAATATATGAACTAATTTTTTGTCCTTTCTATTTTTATTGTTAGGAGATTAAAAACATAATTAAATAATATAGGAAAAAAACCCTATCTCAGAATCCATTCGTTATCGGCTACCACCCAGTCCTGCCTGACTCAAATAATAAATGTGACAAAAAAACTTTTAAATTTGGTTTTTTTCCAACGTAATAGTCAACCCACGAGTTGAGACAATTAGTCTATGTAGTAAATAGTTTAGACCCGGATGAGTATTTCCGAAAACTCGAGCCAAATTAGTCTACGTAGTAAATAGTTTAACTCAGGATGGTATTCTAGAAAACTTGGCCCAAATTAGTTTATTTGTTGATCGTATGTTGTAGTATTTTGAATACTAATTACTAGCATCATAAAATGAGTCTACCCTGTGGTTTCTATCAAATATTGTTGTTATACTATAGTTGATACGTTGTATCCGTCACTATTGTTGTACAGATTTTATCCTTATGTACGGTTTTCTTCTTAAATATTGGTGCACTCATTTGTCATGCAATGCTCTTTGTATCGACTTTCAATTATTAGAGGAGTAAACAACATTAGTTGACTACCTTTAATGCATGTTTCCTCTTCACTTTAGTTGTACTTAATCAATTTGCATCACATCGAGATACCGATATCATGATTATTAATTACCATTCTATTTACATCTTTGTACCAAAGGATTTGTCAACCATGACTATTTGTGCTTTCTTTTTATTTAAATAAAATCCTCATCCACAATAGATGAGCTACATGCTTCAATCTGTGAGAAGCTCATGGAAAAGTCGACAATATCATTAGTAAGATCGAAGATTTCCAACGAACAGACGCCAGGTCGAAATTTTTCGGCGGTTGGAACCTAGCTGGGCCAAAAATTTCTAGCGACCAGAACCAGGCCCAGCCGACGGAAATCGGTGGGCGGAGCCAAGCTGAGCCGAAAAATGTTTTCGGCTCATCTTGGCTCCGTCCACCGATTTCCGACGGCTCGAGCTGGTTACGGCCGCTGGAAATTTTCGGCCCGCCGTCTGACTTTGGAATTTTTCGAAAAAATTCGGTTTTAGGAGTTGAATTTAGCGTGTAAGAATTGAATTTAGAGTTTAAGAGTTGAATTTAGCGTGTAAGAATTGAATTTAGAGTTTAAGAGTTGAATTTTGCATTTAAGAGTTAAATTTAGAGTTTAAGAGTTGAATTTAGCACTTAAGACTTGAACTTAGCGTTTAGCTTCACAAGAATATTGATGTGTTATATTGTAATTGTAGTTAAAATGTCAGAGTGGTTACCGGCCGATAATGATTTCACACAGGAATTTGAGAATGGGATTCATTATGCAATTGTGGAGTTAGCTGAGTTAGCTGCAAAAGCAATCGCTCAAGAGTGTGGGTTCTTTATTTTTAGAGGAGCATGGAAACTGAATACTGCAGCACTACATCCTGTTACTGCCCTCTGTATGTTTTGCGACAGAAACAGTAGGATCGTTAAGTCTTATAAACCAGATCCTACGAAGGAGACGCGTGGGAATTCTAGTTCGAAGGGTATTGGTTACCATTTTCATATATGTATTAAGGAAGTATGGCAAGAGAATGGTCCAAACACATGAGTCATAATAGGAGTGATAAGTCGTGTAACCAGAGCTCCAGAGCTAATAGAGGGTTTCAAAACCATTAAAAGGTGTTGTATCCAGAACATCACTGACGCAACAAACAGTTTAGTGAGGCTGAAAAAGAGAGGTTAAGATTAATGAGGAAGGCGGGGGTGAGACCAAATCAGCAGAAGACGACACTCAATACTTAAGGGGGTGTGCATCATGATATCAAACAAATGTATATTAGAAATTACAAGGCAAGATTGGATGAGATGGGTGAAATGGATGCGATACAGTTTGCGCTTGACGGAGCTAAACAATGTGGGTACCATATCTGTTTGCAAAAGGATGCTAATAATGTGCTTACTAATATGTTTTTTGCCCACATGACGTCCATTCAGATGTTGCATGCATGGCCGTACGTCATCCTCATCGACTCGACCTACAAGACGAACAGGTACAGCATGCCATGGGTTGAGATTATTGGGGTTACTCCTGTCAAAAAGAATTTCAACATTGCATGTGCAATTATTAAGTAGGAAACAAAGGAAATATATGAGTGGCTGCTGCGATGTATTAAAGGGTTGCTCGGTGATACGGTTCCGAATGTCATTGTGACAGACAAAGAAGGTGGTCTGGTTGCTTCTATTCCAGTGGTCTTCCCTCTCGCACATACTATCCACCTACTATGTTTATGACACGTCAACAACTGTGTGAAGAAAAAGTTTGAGGAATTAACACTAATTTAAGTAAATTAAACATTCATACACCAATTTAAGTAAATACTAACACTAATAGCTAATTTTCTATTAACTAATATACCGAATATTAACCTCAATTGTAATTAATCACTAATTAATTAATTTTTTTATTAATTAATATAAATAATTAAACATTCATATACCAATTTAAAATAAATATTAACACTATTTGCTAATTTTATATTTACAAATTCCCGAAAAATCAATTATCATTCGGCTTAATGAAAAAAATTGAGTATAGTAAAATAGGGATTCTCGGAGGCTCTTTATTTTTATTAATTTATTCAAGTAACCTAAATTTCAAAAATTAGAAAACAAGAAAAAATCCCATTTAAGTAATTTCATACTCCTTGCACTTTATTTTATATTCTATATACTCACTTAAATATACTTAGTATAGTATAATTATATAGTAATTCGAATGAGTCGAATATCACAACTTCAAAATAAAAATATAGTATAACACTAAATAACATATACAAATATTAAATTGAGGTGCCCATGACAATTCTCAGCATCTTACCCTCCATTTTGTGTCTTTAGTGAGTTTAGTATTTCCGGCAATTTGCAATGTTTTCTTTATCTCTTTATGTTATAAAAAAAAACAATATTTTATTAATTGTTAATTAATCACTAATTAATTTTTTTTAACTAATTTAAGTAATTAAACATTCATACACCAATTTAAATAAATATCAACGCTAATTACTAATTTTCTATTAACTAATGTACTGAATATTAACATTAATTGTTAAATCAATCACTAATTAATTAATTTTTCGTTATAAAAAAATTGCCTGCAGGAAAATCCGGCGGGCCTAAAGGAAAGTGCGGCCGGGGCGCCGTCGGGCCGAAAAATATTTGCGGCTGGTGCGTCGCGCCGAAAGAGTTTTTCAGCCGGCTCCACGCCTGGCCAGAAAAATCTTTCGGACAAGCGGCGCACCGGCCGCAAAATTTTTTCAGCCCGCCGTCATTCTCGTCGGAAAACTGAAAAAGTTGTCGGAAAATTAAACTTACCTGTTTTCCGACGGTTGAGGACGACGAGAAGTTGGCCGGCGAAGGAGGAACGGTGCCTGCGATGGAGGCACTGGGCTCGACGACATAGGTTTTTGTTGGAATCAGTCAAATGTTATTGGAATTCAAATTTATAGAATGAAAGGAAGGGAAAATTCAAAAATTTGAATTCAAAATTGATTTTTTAGTTGGCGGCAAATAGCCGTTCACATTTTAATGTGGGGTTATCTTGCAAAACGGTCACACAATCTCCGTTCTATTTGTTTGTGCAGAAGCACGTTGTTAATTTCGTCATCGTAGTTTGTGCTCACTAGTTACATATGTTTCTCCTTGGTTCAGCATCCCATGCCCCATCATTTTTCTCATGTGCATATTTGTTTGTAGGCTTTTTGTCTGTGGAACTTTTCAGCTTGGGTGAACCTTCATGCCTCTTTGAATACTATGCAGCAGTAATGTGGCTACAAGAAAGCACTTTGCATATTAGGAGTCATACCAATCTTGTGTTTTCTTTGTGTTGCAAACAATGAATAGTGAAACTGCGTCTTAGACATGATCCAACACACATTTCGCAAGAATTATTAGAATTTGTAACACCTATGAGTTGCCACCTCAAGGAAGCAATTCCTATGTATAATATTGTATTTTGTTTCATTTACTAAAAGGTAAAGTAGATCATGACATAAATGACGCTGGTGGTATGTGCGTATACTCTATAAAGTAGGCAAATTTATCACATTATAGACAACTTACTCCCTCTAGAAGGACATACACCAAAGTTTCCACAATTATATATTCATGAAACTACCTCTAAACACAATTATATATTCGTGCATAACTACTATACTAAACACATAGTATATGTGTCTTCAATAGATAACATATTTACAAGTAACAAACTTTCCCGGCCAACGGGCCGGACCGTGAGCTACTAACATAGATATAAGTTCTTTTTTATACTCCACAACCCAAAAAACTGAGAGGGATTTGGGTATGAACCGACTAATAAGAATAAAGGCAAATCCACCATTAATATATTGCACACTTTTGTCAATTTTTCAGGGATTCAATTAAAAAACTTCCCAGGTATTCGATAAAAAAATCTCTCTTTATTTTCTATTCCTTTCCCAACCTTGGAGAAGAAGAACTCGATCTCCGGCCGTCGGTTTGGACAAGAGGAACTCGATCTGGTGGCACGGTTTTAGCCTGCGGCGGACTGCTTCTCTGATTGCCGAGTTCTTCGCCGCCGCTATTCCCTCTGGTTATTTCTTCTTCCCTTCTCTGAACCAGATCGTCAATCCCCATATCCTTTCTCCCTCCCGCAACAATGACGAGCATTGTTGGGGAACCCTTTTAGGCTAAGGACGAGAACTCTGTTATCCAGGTATTATTCTTCCCATTATTGTATCTGCATTCTCATCCAATCGAAGTCAGAACCTCATTTTCCTATTTGGCTTATACGCGTTTCCGGTGGCTTTTGTTGTCTGCGAATTCCAGGTTGTTTTTTTGATGGTTCTTCGAGTTCATCTGTACCCCTGTGTATTTTTCTTCTGGTCGGGTTTAGGGTTCCCCATTCTCATGAGCAATTATGATTTGGGGTTGGAATTGGCTTGGGTCTATGCGATTAGGGTTTGTATCGCCTGCTTCCCTTTCAATCCGAGGAGGATTGTCGACCCAGACCATCTGATTGTAATATCAATATGCAATTGGAAGTCCCTCCTTGAAGATTGATTTCATCACAACATTGCAGGGTTTCCCAAAACCCTTTTGCCGGAGTTGCAAAGTCTACTTCAGTTAGAATAGCTTCACCATCGCCTCTGCTTTATTTTTCTGTTTTGGCGCTTGACGCTGATAGTACCGCCGCATGTCTCTCCTCGCACTCGACTTTCCCCTTCAATACCAAGAACTCTCGATCAAGAATGAGTGGTATGGTTAAGAAAAGGTTTTGATTCAATCAAATTCATCAGGTAAGAAAAATTTAGATATGAATAATGAATATATAAGAGAGGGTTTTCCAATATGGGTTAGCAATTTTCTCTTGAACTTAAAGGGAACTGGTGCAATTTTTTTGTCTGGGCAGTTGCTTTTCAAAACCAAAGATTTTTGTTTTGATGATTTCCCTATTATTCTTTTCTATATACCCTGAAGAAGAAACACTGCTTGATCCTTATTAGATATAGTCCTCTCCTCTTTCTCATTACAGCTATGTTGCATACAATCTATTACATCTGTTAACCTTTCCCCTCTCATTTTATTAAACATACCACGCAGTTATTTCATCCATAATTTGTTGTATAGTTTTTTGTGGGTTATTAATAGTGATGGTTTCTATATATCAGATATATGTAGGTCATAGCAAGCTGTAATCTTTTTCAAATCCAATAGTAACATAGTGCTTTGGATAATATATATAATGCATATATAAATTTTTGGGCTGTTTGTTTTAGTACATGGTTGCATCTGATAAATCTTGGTGGTTAGGTTTCTCTTAGACCACAAGTTTATTAGTATGTTCTTCACGAAATCTGAACCTTGATAATGTTGGTATGTCTGTATATTTTACTTTGCCAATGACACATGTTTTCTAATGTTCTATTATGTTTTTTATTTTACTTTTCCATTATGATTGTTCTCCGTTGATAGGCAGACCCACAATGCTTATGTCCTGAGTAAAATTCTCCTAGACTATGTCATCGTAAAAGTTTCAAAATGTTAATCATGATTTTTTTTGTTAAGGGCGAAATAATTTTATTAATTAAACAGGGAAAAGAAAAGCAAGGAACAAAAATGAAGGCGGACAGGTTCAAATACAGGAGAGGATATCTCTCAACAGAGGCGATGGAAAGCCTCAGAAGTAGGAACAAAAAAGGTAAGCCAACAAAGCTCTTGCCTGTTGCCTTACAATATGTTCATCATGATTATGAATTTTGATTAATTTTGTTAATTTGTGTTTATCTCTACATGGAACATCTTGGTTGTGCAAATTAGAAATTGCAATATAGTGACAAAGTCATGCTTTTGCGCTGAGTCTCTATTAGTACTCTTTTGTATAATTTATTAAATTTGCTGCCATTTCGTCCGTATACGAAGTCCTTATTGGCCACGAGTATAAAGCCAAAATATGTACTGATATATACTTGGTTCTTGATAATTCTGATGTTGTACATTGAGAATGGATTCCCATAGCAATAATTCTCAACTGAACTGAACTTCTCTGTCATTTTTTACCTAACGAATGGATAAGTAACTTGGTTGCTTTGTACTCCTTGATGTTTGATTGTTTTAATCTCACTACTTTGGCATTATATATATATGAATCCATACCACAATTGTTCTGTTTATCTGTATGCTTAGGTTGATAAATTCTGTTGAACCTAAGGCCTTAATCCATATCTAATGGTGGGTCGCTAAATCATTTTGACGCATGTGGACGCATAGCACATTTCAAAAGCAATTTGTGCAGCATATATATCAACTATCATGCACCAAAAGAAGTTAGTTTCGTCTTAACCTTGCTATTTGCTTAATTAGTCATGCCTTTTTTATTACCACGGGCATTGAAGCACTTTTCAAGCTTTTGCTCTGAATTGTATGCGTCATGCGACTCGAATTAATAAGGCCATTCTTCGAATTCCTATTAAGCTTTTTATTTTGTTTTGGTACATTTTGCAGACTTTCATGTATTGTTTTTAGGCTATTTGGTTCGAGTTTTTTGGTTTTATCCGAAACCGGACCGAGACTGGACCGGATCGGATAGCAAACAATTCATTCCAATCTTCGGGTCTAGATTTGAGATAAAAAAAAACCCGTTTTGGACAGGACCGAAAACCGGATAAAGATCGGATAAGAGAGCCCAAAACTCAAAATTTAACTTCCTCACCCTTTCAGGCCTTAGGCCACTCAAATCCCCCCTCAGGACACTCAAATCCCCACAAGCTCAATCTAAAATCAAGATCGAATTGGGACCGAACCGGATCAAGACCGGACTGTATCCAATACAATTTTTGATCCTTACATTATCAAAAAGACCGGACTGGGATCGAATCAATTCAGACCAATTTCACCGGATCGGACAGTATTTACTTATGATTTCACTTCACATAAACAATTATTACAAGTATGATTTTGTCATTTGCCCCAGTTTTAATCTCCTTTTCATACCTAAAATAAAATTAACAAAGTTGTTAGGATTGAGATGGCAGAGAGAAGATGGAAGAGATTATAAAAATTTCCTCTCCTTTTCATACCTAAAATAAAATTAACAAAGTTGTTAGGATTGAGATAGCAGAGAGAAGATGGAAGAGATTATAAAAATTCAAAAAGCATGAAATTGATGACTATTTGGAAATATCATTGAGCTCCACTTTTTCCCTCTGACAGAATTGGAGGTTTCTTTCGTTGATAATCATAATATTATTAAGAAAATGATTGATAATCTTTATGTAGAATCACACCCCCTCAATTTGGAATCCCTTAATATGGTTGAGGATTCTCAATTATGCGATAATTGAGATCAAGCAAAATCAATCAGGAGTTAAATGTGATGGACCACTATTGAGCATGCATCCTTATTTAGAAAATGAGTAATCGGAAAATTGTTAGTGAACAAACCTATATTAAGTCGAGAATAATTGGTGTCTTTAAAAAGTATATTGGTAAAAAAAATTTCATCAAGGTGCAAGGAAAATTAGCCAAAATTATCTTAGTTAATAATTTTTCGACTTGAGAAAAACTTCAAAACATGGCCTAGATTGTGGTGAAAGAAACTTTTGCCTAATGAGTGAGGTTAGAGTATAAAACCATCGGGAGATCAAGAGTAGGAGTATTCCATCCCATCAAATGAAAGTCACTCAATTTTTAAAATTGTATTTCGATATCGTGTACAAATTTGAACAATAATCTCGGACGAGGTACTTAACTTATTTTACGATTTACTACTCATGAAAATTTTATGATAAATCCGGCCAACGGGCCGAATATAAAGCTAGTAACAATAATAATAATTACGAGGAATTCATATATCCCTCAGAAATCAACCCTCATTAACAAGATGATGTTAGCCCTCTTGCTTACTGTTTCTTAGGCTTTGGATGTTCTTGAGGCGTGAACACATAACACCTTTAAAGTTGCCCAAATTCCTGGCTGCAAAATTTATCAATCTCGATCTTGAACCCTGGCATGGCCGCCTCACTTAGCAACACCAGCACCTTAAACCCACCATCTCCCTTGCCTTCACCGACAGAAGAATGCGGCAAGAAAAAGCAAGGCTCGTCGCTCCCCAATAACCTCCTCGTCGAAAGCGGCAAAACGGTGACCGGGTTGCCCCACCCGAAATCTACGCCCATCTGGCCCAAGTGTCTCCAATCCGTGAACCCACTGGTCACCCTGCAGCTGCTCGCCGCCGTCACAATTTCTCCGCCGTGTAGCTCGATGAAGTCGATGAAGGAACTCACGTACCCGTCCGGGGCGGCCACGTGTCGTTTGCTCTGCTTAATCAGCTCCGCCGTCCGCCAGATGGGCTGCTCAAGGAGGTCCTTCGCTTGCAGTTGGACGCACATCGGAACGCAGCCGTTTCCCCAGTAGCCCGTCGGCAACGGTGGCTGCACCAATTTGCGAACGTTGATGGCATAGACGAAGTTTACAAACTCGTGGGCAGAGATTCCCGAGGCCTTCACCCTGTTTATTAAGTCGCTCAAAAACAACTCATTGTTTAGTTAACGACTTGAAATACATGCAGGTATAACTACACTTAACAAAAAAATGCAGCTACAATTATTGATATCAAGTGATACATGCAAAAGTCGCCTCTTAATTAAGTCTTAACCCTTAAAATTAATTTCTAGATAGTTACCTTACCTTGTTAGTATCTTGGGAGTAGTTCCAATGCTACGTACTTAGAGTTAGTGGCGGATCCAGGAATTTTTTATAGGGTGTCCTCTTCCAAAAATTAAATTTAATTAGCAATTAAATTAAATAATTAAAAAATAAAAAATATTCGACTAGTGCAAATATACCATATTAGACAATAATTCACGAACTGATCGCATATTCGATTTTTAACCTTGTGCTTGATGTAACTCAAACTTGAAAGACTCTTTCAACTCTTGCAATATACCTATAAAATCGATTCAAATTAAGGATAGCTCGAATGAATTTAATTGTTAGGTTTTGAAATAAAGAATAGTGTTTTTACTATTACATAGTGTTTAAAATAGAACAACAAATGAGTTGCAACCTAGAGAATATGTTTAATAATAGTAGTGTCATAGGTTTGAATAACACAGGGATTACTACTTATATATTTTTAATCATACGCAAACTACTACCGAGAACAAGATAATTGTTTTTTCAAAATTTAAGGGTGTCCTGGATTACCAATTATATTTTTTTATCCAAACGAAACTACTACCGGGGGGGTGGATAATCGTTTTCCTAAATTTTAGGGGTGTTCCGGGACACCCCTAGAGGCCCATGTATCCGCCACTGCGTAGAGTGTAATATTTCATTTCAGTTGATGTGAATATAAACTCGTAACCACATACGTATAAATATAGTTGATAATATTAAATCGTATGCTTATCTTAATATTGACTGAGTTGTATTAGTGATCATTAGCATGGTAATGAAAGCTAATGTGGTTAAACCAACTAACTAACTATAAAAAAAAAGATCGAATGTAGGAGTCCAAGTAGAATTTCGAAGATCATTACTATTATCAATCTTGTTTCCGTAGATCGAAACATTAACCATTCTAAGTTTCCAACTAACACCCTAAACCGTCATGGTTTATGCAAGATCATGAACTAACAAGAACCCTAACAAGATGGATGTAGTTCCTACCCATGTATTTTACAAGAGTACTTATCAAGCGTGGTAAATGTGCACCTAACAAAATGCTCATTAACCAACTTACTTGGCCCGCCATATGAATGCTCCTAAGGCCTCAAACGTGGTGAACTTGGAGCCACACTTCTGAACCAAAGCATTCTTGAATCCCTCCACCCACTCGTCTCTCACATCAAAACAGTAACTCCTAACCACCTTCCCACCAACCACCCCATCTCCATCCCCGTCCGGTCCGACCATTCCTTCCTTCCGGCCCAAAACCTCACCAACCCATTCTTCAACCCGGGGCGGGTCACGCGGTCGGAAAACACCCTCCCGATCCCAGACCGGCTCAACCGAGATCTTGTCCGCCCCACGAGCCAGCTCGGCGGCAGCATTGAAAAACATGGTGGCACCCATCCCGTCACACAATGCGTGGTTCACTGCGGCTCCCAGGGCGAACCCGTCGCACTCAAATGTCGTGACCTGAAGCATAAACGGATGGACCAGCCTCTCGTCCGGGCTCGGGTTGGGTGCCAACCGGTCCGTGAACTCTGAACCCGGTTCATCCAGGTAGTTGACCGAAGCCAGCGTCGCACTGACCGTGGCGTTGGTTAAAGGCAGGGCTAGTTGGTCCCGCGAGCAGAATACCTCGAGCCGGCCATTGCTGGAGCGGAGGCCGGCGGCGAGTGGGTAATAGTGGACAAGAGCTCGGGAGAGAGCATCGGCGATGACGTCAAACGGGCGAGTACTGGCGGTGGTTGGCTTGGTGGTGGTGGTGGTGTTGTTGGCGTAAACCCGAACGTACCGAATGGTGACGTCGAGATTGGGATCGGTGTCGAGGCGGGAGAGAGGGAGGGAATGGTCTTGTGAGAAAGGGTGTTGGGAAGGGCGGATTGTGATGGTCTCTATGATCTTAACTTCCATTTTTTTTATTCAGCAGTCGCGGCTGTGCTAACAAAATTAGCTGCTTTTTGGCGTTATAATCTTCTTTTCTTTAGTAGTTGTACAAGGGTATTGGAGTAGAACGGGTCTTATGTAGTGGTAGGTGACAAGAGGGTAGTTTTACGTAAATATGGTAACGTGGAGCTTGCCTTGGCCACAAGCCCACAACCGTAAGCTTCTCTTCTTTCTTTCTTTCTTTCTTTCTTTCTGGTTGTCCAACCTATGCAATGTGTTAGTTAGGGATGACAATTGTACTCCCTCTATTATATATAGCCGTTATAGAGCCGTTCTTCATGAGATTTTGAGCATTTCAAATTCCTTGCACTCTCCTTGATTGTAGCTAGGGGTAAATTTGTAAGTTCAACTTAGAACTTAAATATCTTCTTACGATAAAAAAAATGTCATTACCAAGACTTGAACTCGAGTCCTTCAAATTGATAGTCAATATCCCTAACCAACTGAACTACAACAATGTTTATGTATTTTTTGAATTAAAGAGAGAAAATGCTGAAATATCTCAAAATCATACTACTATCCACTGCAACTAGTGATGGCAATTTCAACCCGCCCCGCAGTAGCGTGGGGCAGGGCATGGGTATCTACTTCCTACCCGCCCTGCCCGCCCCGTTCTAGACTCATTTTATCTCAATTTCTTACAATATCTATACATATTTCTCCTATTTTGACTTTTCTTCAACTAGTTAGAGTAGATCTTTCAACTTGTTAGGCTCAATTATCTATTCTATTATCAATATTTTTCATTCTTAAATTGTTTTTCTCTACGTTTTATTGTAAAAGGTAAAATTTACTTGTATTTTTTTTAACAACATGTAAAAGTGGGTCGACCCGCCCCGCCCCATTGCCATCACTAACTGCAACAATCAATCATCGAATTAATCCCTCTATAATATATAGTCGTTCTTCAGGGAGCATTTCAAATTCCTTGCACTCTTCTTAATTGTAGCTAGGGGTAAATTTGTAAGTTCAACTTAGAACTTAAATATCTTCTTACTAGAAAAAATAATGTCATTACCAAGACTTGAACTTGAGTCCTTCAGATTGATAGTCAATATCCCTAACCAACTGAACTACAACAATGTTTATGTATTTTTTGAATTAAAGAGAGAAAATGCTAAAATATCTCAAAATCATACTACTGTCCACTGAAACAATCAATCATCGAATTAATTAATAACTGTAATTATTTACAAAGCGAGTTCCTCTGATCACACAATTCTTCACCAAGAATCAAATAGTACATTTTGAGTTTATGTATGTCTTACAACTTTTACATTTATTAGGTTACATGACTTTGCAATTCGTAGGAATACAATGATTGTTTACAAAAGTGCTATACAAAATTTTATTTCAAAACATAAAATTTGACATTTGTGATATATGGTTTTGTAACGAGACACTTTCAATGCTATAAGTGGATGACCAAAAATCATTGGCTAACAATTTCCCTAATGATTGACAATTATAAGCACAGAATTGAAAGACTAAATACCATTGACAAATGAGCCAATTATCATTGGCTAAATTTAACAAACAATGGTATGTGTATATACATTGGAAATTCTATGGTACGCTCAATGGATTGAGGGTTATTGCTTCTCCTTAGTTAAATAAAATTATCTAGACCATAGATTAATCACGTAACTCAACCTATCATAATTCTCTAAATCCTAATATAGTGCATATGGTATGTTGTAACTCAACCTATCATAATTCTCAAAATTATCTAGACCATTGGAAATTCTATGGTACGCTCGATGGATTGAGGATTATTACTTCTGCTTAGTTAAATAAAATTATATAGACCATAGATTAATCACGTAACTCAACCTATCATAATTCTACAAATCCTAATATATTGCATATGGTATGTTCTATACATCTTAGCGAATCAGGATCATTGATTATATTCTTAGTATATGTGATATTAGGTTTAAGTTCCATAGATTTAGGGTATATGATTTAATTATTTGAAACTTAATCTCCATTTTCAAATTTCTTGCAATGAGAGGAAAATTAGGAAGGACATTTTTGTCTTCACAATTATGTGTATTTTTTATTTATTTATAGAAAAAGATAGACATATTGAGATTTGAACCATGGTCACCTCAAACAAAGTGAAGGTTTAAAATCAATCAGACTATGTAGATTTGTTGTATTTTTTTAAATTAAAAATATATACGAAGCTAAAATATGAAATCACAGAACTTTTCAACAGTTAGCTAGCCCAATAAATATTCCGTAACTACTTTTTGGTGTTTTGATACTTCGATTTTGATATTTTTTATTTTAATTATAGTATAATATTTAATTTAAAATTTTATCTATCTTATAAATAGACGATAACCATAAATTTGCAACCAAAATATTGTTGGTTTGAATATTTCATATATAATTATAGTATTGAATATGTAGAAGCGATATAGAATTCTTAAATTACCATTTATTTCCAGAACTATAGTGAAACAATCATATCTTTGTGCAAACTATAGGGGACTGGTTCTCTGAACATTTTTGTCCGGTTAAATACTAAGTTTTGAAACTCTTCCTAGGGGTGTGCATGGGTCGGTTCGTTTGGGTTTAGATATTTTAATCACCTAACTCATATACCACGATTTTGAAAACACAAAATACAAACTCACCCAAATAATTTAGAATTTTAACGGTTTGTGTCCTCCATACCAAATGAACCAATTTACATGTTGCTTACCTAAGGACGATCTCATTGTCCAATCTCATCATTCTAATGTCAATCCATAAAAGTAACTCATATTCACGTTTGTTAATACATGTTTCACATTGTCATTACTGTGACCGGTAAATTCGCTGCAACTGATTCGGTATTGCTCATCATATGGCCTCCAAACTAATAAACATATCGGGCCAACAGTTTTATGACAAAACTCAAAGTGAAGACAACTCATCGTCTGGTTGAATTTTGGCACTTGGTGGTGTCCATTAATCTAATTGCAAGCATAATGATTGCTAAAATTAAGCTTTCACGCAACACACTTGGAGTAAAAGTTGATATTGGGTTTGGGAAGGGAAGTGGTGAGAGGAAGAAATTGTGTTTGGATTTGGTAGCAGGTAAAGTTCATGGTTCGGTTTCTTTTCGTAAAGGGCTTTGATTTATTTTAGTTAGAGGTATAATATCATGGTTATATGGGATCTAATGAACCAAAAATGAGCTTGGGGGATGGGAATTTCAACTTAGAAGGAGTGGATTAAATTTTGATAAACTCAAGTTCATGATTAACTGAAAGAATATTTAGATTTAGACTTTGTGGTATTGAGATGTTTATAGAGAGTTTAAAACTGATCCAAGGCCATAGATTGATATTGGTTAGTTGATTGTGATTTTGAGGAAGGTGTATAAAAAGTCAAGGAAGTAGTTTGCAGCAAGTGAAAGTAGTGAAGAGGCAGTTGGTCAGGGTAGTGATTGAAACAAGGAGGATATTGAAAGACATAGAAGCAAAATCGAAGCAGTTGAAGAGAGAGAAGTGGTAGATGATCAGGGTATTAATGAAAATGGAGAGGGTATTGAAGGACATGGAAGTGAACTGGATCAGGTGAAGGCAGAGAAGGAGGAGAATAGCATATTGATGGAATTGAAGATGAGTGTTGGTTTTACGAGCTTATTAAAACTGCCTCGAGGAAGATGAGTTCGCCAAATACAAGAAAGAGGATTGAGGAGTTGGAGATCAAGCTGACAAGAAACTCAATTGATAGAGAAATTCAGGTTCATGGAGAGAAGGTCCATCAAAGTAGCATAAACAGAGTTGCAGAAGAAGGATTAGAAATTGAATATTGGTTTAAAACATGTACGTCGAGAGATTGAAGATGGAGGGATAAAAAGTTGGTTGTACAACGGAGAGTGGAAACTATTGGATCTTTAGGTGCTATGGTTGTTGCAACTACCACAACCTATGTTTATGTTAAAATAAGGAATCATTGATTGATTTACTAAAGTTAAGGTCGATTCACTATTCAAACTACTGGAACCTATAGATAAGGAGTGTCTAATTTTGTGCCTCATTACTTTGATGGAGTCTATTAGTATATTGGATGTAACTCTAATTTTGTCATTTGCTCTCAAGTTTTGATGGTCAACCCCAAACCACACTGGACGCAACACAACTTTGACCAAGACCATATCGAATTGAATCTAATATGTCTTGGACCTTCATCCTACCAAATACAAGTTCAAAAGAAAAATAATCTGATGGGACATTTCAATCGAACTTCATCGGATCCCACCAGATCGAATGCACTTACGGTCCAATGTTGGATTCTATGATTTTTTTCATTAATGGACCGTGTTTCTAATGAATATAAACAATCAAATATGAACATGCATAATGTTAATCGGCCAACGGGCCGAGTTATAAGCTAGTAACTACAAGTATCATATCGTTCTCAATCCAATAAGCACAGAGAACTCTTGTATTGACTAGATATGAGACTAATATAGATAAAAGTAAAACCAATAAAAAGTTTAATGGGAATGTGAGGGTAAAATACTTTGAATATCACTTAACTTTGCGAATTGTAGTAGACATACCACTTAACTTTGAATAGGGCGTCGGGTACCACTAAACTCTATTAAATGTGCATCTAGTACCACTTAAGTTTACTGTTAAGAGCATTTCGTTAAAATTGATAGAATAGTCTTGGAATATTTCATTTTCTAAATTTCAAAATTGATCATTCTACTTTTCTTATTGTAAAAAATCATTTGGACTTATAAGTATTAAAAAATCATTTGGAAAAACTTAATTTTTTATTGTTTGGTTGGAATCCTCTTTCTAAGACTCTAATGCCAAACCAATTTTTTAATAGAAAATTTAGAATCAATCATTGTTATAAGTATTTTCAATTATATGTGTTCTAATAATTGAATTTTTTTTCCTGAAACAAATATTTCCCACAAATTCTATCTCAATATAAATAATCTAAAGATGTTA